GTATACTTATAATACAGTCAGTTATTTGATATGTATACTTATAATACAGTCAGTTATTTGATATGTATACTTATACGTATACTTATAATACAGTCAGTTATTTGATACGTATGCTTATACGTATACTTATATTATAATAAAGTCAGTTATTTGATATGTATACTTATAATACTGTCAGTTATTTGATATGCATACGTATATGTATACTTATTGTACAGTCAGTTATTTGATATGTATACTTATATTGTTTCGCTGTAAAAAGGGTTTTTATGTCTTTTTCCCCTTTTTCCCTCTCTTTCCAAATGTTTCATTAATTTTATAACATTCTACCTGATCCGATAGTTCTATACTACTTCCGGTGTTGTACTTACTTCCTGTATTGGGCGAACCCATATGCAGGCATGGTCATCTATCTCAGGTATTCTTATTAGCATATGCACGAAATAACTCATTAAAATGTGTTTTCTTATCTTAGGTCGACAAGTAGTAATGTCCTCTGCTTGCAAGATACACATTTAGCTACAGAGGAGGAAAATATTATAAGAAGTGAATGGGGTTTTCAGTGCCACTTTTATTCTTTTAAATCAATTGCTAGATGCGTAGCTATTCTTTTTAAAAATAGTTTCGAATTTAAAGTGCATGAAGAAAAGAAAGAAATCACGGGCAATATTTTAGCCTTGAAATTGAAATTGAGACTTTAAGAATTACACTTATCAATTTGTATGGCCCAAAAAAGGATGACCTTGATTTTTATGATATACTATACAGTCTGTATATTCTGTATATTTATACACCACACACACTTTATACACCACACACACTTTATACACCACACACACTTTATACACCACACACACTTTATAGACAACACACACTGTATACACCAAACACACTTTATACACAACACACACTTTATACACCACATACTGTATACACCACCCACACTGTATACACCACGCACACTGTATACACCACACACACTGAATACACCACACACACTGTATACACCACACACTTTATACACCACACACACTGTATACACCACACATACTTTATACACCACACAAACATTACACCCACACACTTTATACACCACATACAGTGTATGTACCACACACACTTTATGCACCACACACACTTTATACACCACACACACTTTATACACATCACACACTTTGTACACATCACACACTGTATACACCACACACACTTTATACACATCACACACTTTGTACACATCACACACTGTATACACCACACACACTTTATACACCACACACCCTTTATACACCACACACTCTGTATACACCACACATACTTTATACACCACACAAACATTACACCACACACTTTATACACCACATACAGTGTATGAACCACACACACTTTATGCACCACACACACTTTATACACCACACACCCTTTATACACCACACACTCTGTATACACCACACACACTGTATACACCACACACTTTATACACTACACACACTTTATACACCACACACACTTTATAGACAACACACACTGTATACATCACATACAGTGTATACACCACACACACTGTATACATCACATACAGTGTATACACCACACACACTGTATACACCACACGCTTTATACACCACACACACTTTATACACCACAAACACTGTATACACCACACACACTGTATACACCACACACACTTTATACACCACACACACTGTATACACCACACACACTGTATACACCACACACTTTATACACCACACACACTTTATACACCACACACACTTTATACACCACACACACTTTATACACCACACACACGTTATACACCACACACACTTTATACACATCACACACTTTATACACCACATACACTGTAAACACCACACACACTTTATACACATCACACACTGTATACACCCCACACTCTGTATACACCCCACACACTGTATACACCCCACACACTGTATACAACACACACACTTTATACACATCACACACTGTATACACCACACACATGTTATACACCACACACACTTTATACACATCACACACTTTATACACCACACACACTTTATACACCACACACACTTTATACACCACACACACTTTATACACCTCACACACTTTATACACCACACACATTGCTGGGAAAAACACACTTTATACACCACACACACTTTATACACCACACACTCTTTATACACCACACACACTTTATAAACCAACACACTTTATACACCACACACACTTTATACACCACACACATTGCTGGGATATACACCACACACATTGCTGGGATATAATTTAAAAGTGATCCTTTTTCCTTGCTGCAGAATCTTTGATAGTCTATGGACACAAATATTCAAGTGGACTTGAAAAAATATTTAATTTGGTAAATCATAAAAGAATTTATGATCACTTTACTATATAAATGTACTTGACAAACTCACTGAAATTTTAGCCCATTTCTGAATTTTAACAGATAAGCACATTGATTATACCTGGTGCACCCACAATATATGTAACAGAAAACAATATGCAGACATTTCAATTAGCACATATTTAAAGTGCGAAAGAGCTGAAATGAGGTTACCGCTAAAAGATTTATGTTTAGAGTGTGTATGGGATATCAGTTTAACTTCTACCAAAATCATCCATATATCATACTGCATCCCCAAATAAATGTGACATGAATATATAACACATATGTTTAACCTCCTAGGATACACATGCAGTATGTTTATTGTTTTTACATGAAAACCTCATTTGAATACTTCCAGCATACAGTCATTTAACATTTACTCAATGTAAATTGAGATACAACCTTGACATAAATTCCATTAAATTCATAAATGTAGCAGAACTGGTCTGGGTCAATCGTTGGCAACCAGGTAGCTTAGTTGGTAGAGTGTCCGTCCAGAGGTCAGAGGGTCCTGGATTTGTAACCTAGTCTGGCCGCCATGCATTTCTCTTCTCTTATTACAAAGTTGGTGACTCAGTGACTAACCCTGTATTAAGTACTGGGTGTACACTTTGCAAGGGGATACCCAAACCTGAGTAGTAAATAGTGTTGCCGTCAGTGGTCTTAGAAAAAGGAGGGAGGAATGTAGCGGCACTGTAGCAGGACCAGGTAGCTCAATTGGGGGAGAGTCTAGAGTTTGGAGGGTAACCAGTTCAAAATCCAGTCTGGCCATGCATTTTTCCACTCCTACTATATATATATTATAAATCAGAAAAATGATCCTTACGGACGAATAAATATTATATAAAGAAAAATTCTTAACAACGAGTCTTTAGTACTTTCATCTCTTCTAGGAGATTCTTCAGACTCAGACTCAGTCTGAAGAATCTCCTAGAAGAGATGAAAGTACTAAAGACTCGTTGTTAAGAATTATTCTTTATATGATATATATATATATATATATATAAAGGATTATAAAATGTGCATGTGAAGTCAGTAAAATATATGATCTAACGGACGACTTAAAACCAAGCTGCTTTCACCAGATCTTATTTTGTCTTTATACATCTATTCAACTAAAATATCCTTTTTCTGATCAGAGTTTAAAACCATTCTCTGAAATTATTGAACGTAAATGATGAACAACATTCAATAAATTAGTCCTATAGATCCTTTATTATAATATGTACAAATGTTTGTGTCCTGTATATACACTGGTATAATCTGTACAGACAATCAAGCTGTTGATAGGTAATTTGCTGCAAACCGATGCATATGTATACAACAAACTTTTAATTTCAAGTTTAATTCACACACTGTTATTGACAGACATGAACTCTGTGAATTGGCCATTAGTTCTATTCACCTTTCACTTTCAGCTTACAACAGACAAGTATGTTGTAGTGTCAATCCTATCAGAGTCCAGGATTCTCAATCAGTTCGTTCTTACCAGTAGGCTGAGTTAAGTGGGTGGCGTTCCAGCATCCTCATCAACACAAAACTATGGCAGTAAGATGCCATCTTCCCTTATGTTTGCCATCACATCTTGATTATCACAAATACTTTTCAGTTTTATTGTCAAACACTACACTTTGAGTATGCTTCATTTCTCTGTCTTGGCATAAACACTATTTCATTAGTACCTGGATAGATGACACCTCATCAAAGGTGATGCTACATCAGGCAAATGAACCGCATTATTGCAGTAAACCCCCATCTCAAATATCACTTCATAATAACTTCCATATAGGACACAGACTTACACTAAGGTAACAGAAAACTGAGAACACTTAATAATGTTTATGTTTGTCACCTGTAAAAAACATGTGCATGACACAGGAAACCCATCATTTAAGATGAATGTGAAAATGATGAATATAGCTCAGTCAATGTTAGTTGGAGCCTTAAGTGAAAATGTATTCCTTGCAAAATTAGAGAAATTATGGATGGATGTAAGAATGAATTTGTAAGAGTCAGTTTCATAGGGATAGGCACAAGTCACATCCACACAACCTGACCACAGAGATCAGCAATTTATGGCACTACATCTTTTGAAATTCCAAGTAAACTCACTAGTATATAAGAGGCCTATCTTTATAAGGTTGGTTCATCTGTAGTCCAGTAACATCTCTATATCAATATCAAAGTCATTGTTCAAATCAGGCAACAAGTTTTGAGAGACTGTCATAAGCAGGAAAGAATGGTCTCTCCAGATAGACTGACACACACACACTCAACTCTTCATCTTTATGTTGTGTGCAAGATTTTATATACAATGATCATGGTGACACTTTGGTTTTTCAGCATTGGGAATTCCCTTTGTGTACAGCACAGTGATTTTGTCTATAAGTCCACTTGCATGCATAAACTAATCAAATGTCCACAATCTTTTATCATACACAGAACCTGACAATAGGTGACCTTTGGTCACTCCTGTGGTCAACCATCTGGAGTTTACGGTCATTTATGTAAACTTCTTCGATGCAACCCCTAAATCCTTCAAAATACTGGTTAGGCAGTCCATGGGCCAAGCTACTTTTTCCCCCTGAAACATTCAGAAAATGTTAAAATAAAACAACGACTGGATTTCATACTACACTCAAGTAATCTCTCACTCAAAGTTACAATTTAAAGTAACACTTCAAGGTCACCTCTTAAAGACATCTTTCAAAGTTGTAACTCAAGGTCAACAATCCAGATCACCACTCATCTATCAAGAATATCTCAAACTTTGGAACACAAGGTCTCACTATAAGGTCACTAGTACATGTATGGACATAAGCTTACCAGTCCTTTGGACCCGAGGTCAGTTATAAAGTTGATCAGAAAGAAAAAATTGGAAGAAGCCTTCTTTTAATCTTCGGGCAATTCATTTGACCATGTTTGACACATCAAAACAGTAGACAAAACAGTTTTTGCTTACCTATCCAGAGGTTGCCATCAGTGTCAAGCTGGGAGGCCCCTTCTGATGACATACCCTTCACAGGTCGTTCCTCATCTACTTGAAGTGTGGCCTGTCTCTCATCCCTGTTATAACAATAGCATGTCATTATAATGTATTACTTTTTCATGTATTTAAATCATCTAAGCACACTTATTATCCCTATTTAGACTTATGTGTCCCCTATACTAAGTACGAGATACAAACAACCTTAACTGTCATTGTCACTATTGTTATATTTGTTGACCAGGAAAGTACTTTGCAATGTGTTTCACAAAATCGTAGTTGCTAAAATTTGTTTTTTTTTCAAAAAAGAGATTAAAAAAGAAATCACCAAAAATTTAGGGTCTTTACTTCGCAAAGCTTACACTATGTTGCAATACAGATATTATTGAATGTCAATCCAATTTATTGACATTAATAATTTTTTCCTATTATTCCCGACAAGTGATTGGCCAGAAGTGCATCACGTGTCCACCGATAAAAAACCGATATTGACTTGGACCGCGTGATTTTTGTTGAAGGACTGGGTGTTTCTAAAAATAGGATTATGACGTGTCTCCAAAAAATGCACCGTCCCACTTCCAAAGCTTTTTTGTTGTGTTTTGTTTTCAGATTGCCTACACTGCGTCCTCGGTCAATATATCTTTTCTCGGGTCGATAAATCCAGGTATCAACCTCAGTCAAAGGCTATACTTGAATATTATTATTTTTTCATATCATTCCTGACAAACGATTGGCGAGAAGTGCATCACGTGTCCACCGATAAAAAGCGATATTGACTTGGAGCACTCGATTTTTGTTGAAGGACTGGATGTTTCTAAAAATAGAATTATGATGTGTCTCCAAACACCGCAATGTCCTGCTTCCGTAGCTTTTTTGTTGTGTTTTTTTTTTCAGATTGCTTACATAACCGTTTTGAAAATAATAAAACAATTGTAGCCTATAACTTCGGTCGATTCCCGGATTATTTACGTTTGTTTGGAGAACCGTCCCACTGACCTGTCCTTGTTCACTACACTGACCTGTCTCTATCCACTACACTGACCTGTCTCTATCCACTACACTGACCTGTCTCTATCCTCTACACTGACCTGTCTCTATCCACTACACTGACCTGTCTCTATCCACTACACTGACCTGTCTCTATCCACTACACTGACCTGTCTCTATCCACTACACTGACCTGTCTCTATCCACTACACTGACCTGTCTCTATCCTCTACACTGACCTGTCTCTATCCACTACACTGACCTGTCTCTATCCACTACACTGACCTATCCTTGTTCACTACACTGACCTGTCTCTATCCACTACACTGACCTGTCTCTATCCACTACACTGACCTGTCCTTGTTCACTACATTACTCAGTATCTGTCCTCTATGCTGACCAGTCTATGTGTGCTACAGTGACCTGCTACAGTGACCTGCTATTTTCCTCTATACTGACATATCTTTGTCCTCTACACTGCCCTATCCTTGTCAAAGACTGAGTTACTAGTCTATGTCCACTACACTGACTTGTCTATGTCCACTACACTGACCTGTCTATGTCCAGTACACTGACCTGTCTATGTCCAGTACACTGACCTGTCTATGTCCAGTACACTGACCTGTCTATGTCCAGTACACTGACCTGTCCCTGTCCTCTACACTGACCTGTCTATGTCCAGTACACTGACCTGTCCCTGTCCACTACACTGACTAGCCTATGTCCAGTACACTGACCTGTCCCCGTCAACTACACTGAACAGTCTATGTCCAGTACACTGACCTGTCCCCGTCCACTACACTGAACAGTCTATGTCCAGTACACTGACCTGTCCCTGTCCTCTACACTGACTAGCCTATGTCCAGTACACTGACCTGTCCCCGTCCACTACACTGAACAGTCTATGTCCACTACACTGACCTGTCTATGTCCAGTACACTAACCTGTCTATGTCCAGTACACTGACCTGTCTATGTCCAGTACTCTGACCTGTCCCTGCCCACTACACTGACTAGCCTATGTCCAGCACACTGACCTGTCCCTGTCCACTACACTGACCAGTCTATGTCCAGTACACTGACCTGTACCCGTCCACTACACTGACTAATCTATGTCCAGTACACTGACCTGTCACTGTCCTCTACACTGTCTTGTCTATGTCCAGTACACTGACCTGTCTATGCCCAGTACACTGACCTGTCCCCGTCCTCTACACTGAACAGTCTATGTCCAGTACATTGACCTGTCCCTGTCCTCTACACTGTCTTGTCTATGCCCAGTACACTGACCTGTCCCCGTCCTCTACACTGACCTGTCTATGTCCAGTACACTGACCTGTACCCGTCCACTACACTGACTAATCTATGTCCAGTACACTGACCTGTCCCCGTCCACTACACTGAACAGTCTATGTCCAGTACACTGACCTGTCTATGTCCAGTACACTGACCTGTCTATGTCCAGCACACTGGCCTGTCTATGTCCAGTGCACTGACCTGTCTATGTCCACTACACTGACCTGTCCCCGTCCACTACACTGAACAGTCTATGTCCAGTACACTGACCTGTCCCTGTCCTCTGCACTGACCTGCCTATGTCCAGTACACTGACCTGTCCCCGTCCACTAAACTGAACAGTCTATGTCCAGTGCACTGACCTGTCTATGTCCAGCACCCTGGCCTGTCTATGTCCAGTGCCCTGACCTGTCTATGCCCACTACACTGACTTGTCCCCGTCCACTACACTGACCTGTCTATGTCCACTACACTGCCCTGTCTCTATCCACTACCCTGACCTGTCTCTATCCACTCCACTGCCCTGTCCTTGTTCACTACACTGACCTGTCTCTATCCGCTACACTCACCTGTCTCTTTCCACTACACTGACCTGTCTCTGTCCACTACACTGACCTGTCCCCGTCCTCTACACTGAACAGTCTATGTCCAGTGCACTGACTTGTCTATGTCCACTACACTGACCTGCCCCCGTCCACTACACTGAACAGTCTACGTCCAGTACACTGACCTGTCCCCGTCCTCTACACTGAACAGTCTATGTCCAGTCCACTGCCCTGTCCCCGTCCACTAAACTGAACAGTCTATGTCCAGTACATCTCTATCCACTACACTGACCTGTCTCTGTCCTCTACACTGACCTGTCTCTATCCGCTACACTCACCTGTCTCTTTCCACTACACTGACCTGTCCTTGTTCACTACATTACTCAGTATCTGTCCTCTATGCTGACCAGTCTATGTGTGATACAGTGACCTGCTACAGTGACCTGCTATTTTCCTCTATACTGACATTTCTTTGTCCTCTACACTGCCCTATCCTTGTCAAAGACTGAGTTACTAGTTTATATCCACTACACTGACCTGTCTATGTCCAGTACACTGACCTGTCTATGTCTAGTACACTGACCTGTCCCTGTCCTCTACAATGACCTGTCTATGTCCATTCCACTGACTAGTCTATGTCCATTACACTGAGCTGTCAAAGACTGAGTTACTAGTTTATATCCACTACACTCACCTGTCTATGTCCAGTACACTAACCTGTCTATGTCCAGTACACAGACCTGTCTGTGTCCAGTACACTGACCTGTCTCTGTCCAGTACACTGACCTGTCTATGTTCAGTACACTGACCTGTCCCTGTCCTCTACACTGACCTGTCTATGTCCAGTACACTGACTAGTCTATGTCCAGTACACTGACCTGTTCCCGTCCTCTACACTGACCAGTCTATGTCCATTACACTGAGCAGTCCCTTTCCTTTACACTGACCAGTCTATGTCCAGTACACTGACCTGTCCCTGTCCTCTACACTGGCTAGTCTATGTCCAGTACACTGACCTGTCCCTGTCCTCTTCACTGACTTGTCCTTGTGCCCTACACTGACATGTCCCTGTCCTCTATACTGGCCAGTCTATGTCCAGTACACTGACCTGTCCCTGTTCTCTACACTGACTTGTCATTGTGCCCTACACAGTCCCTTGCTTCTACATTGACTGTTCTATGTCCACTATACTGACCAGTCTCTACCTTCCTGTTCACTGACCATTCTCTTAAAATAGCACTTTCCAGTGTCTGTTCTCTAAACTGACCGTTCTCTGTTCATTACACTGACCTATCCCTGTTTCCTACACTGACCAATCAGTCCACTACACTGACCAGTCTCAGCTCTAAATCTTCACTGACCAGTTTAATCCTCTACACTAACCTGCTGGCAACAAGAGTGTGCCATAGCCCATCATCAACTTGCACCGTTGACCTTATGACATGAAGGTTATTTTCAGTCTGTCTGCCAAGATTGTAGCTGAGCTGAACTCTCCCATCCAATACAGCTATGGCAAAGTAGTCTTCCAGTACTGGTAGTGCACCTTGTTGAAACAGGAGAAGACCACTCCGTGCAACACGAAACTTTATTGTGTATTTGTTTGTTCGTTGACCTGGAACCCTTAGAAATTAACGTAAAAATATTTTGAAAGTGAAAAATACATCAAATTTGGCTCATTTCATTAGTAAAATAAAGCTCATTAGGAACAAGAAGCCCAAATCAAACAGGAGAAGGATTATAATAACGTATTACACATTCCCCCTTTTTGGCCTTGCCCCTAGGGGACCACACTCTCCCTTCAAACAAATTGAGTATCCCTTGCCCCAGGATGCTGTGGTTTCACAAAACTTGGTTAAAATCCCTCCAAATAAACTGAACAATTTTAAACATTTATTACTATGTTCCCCCTACTGGACTCTTCCCCTTTGCTACCAGGGGGACCACACTCTCTGTTAAAACAACTTGACTCCCCCTTGCCAAATGAAGCTCTCGCCCAAATTTGGTTGAAATAACTCCAATCATATGAGTGGAGAAGAATTTTAAAGATTTTCCTGAATATTCCATATTGGGTGCCACCCTCTGCCCAAAAGAGGGTCATACTCTTTATTTATACAAAATTGTGTCCCCTTTGCCCAAGGATGCTCCTTACAAAAAGTTTGTTCAAAATCTCTCAAATCATACTAAAGAAGGAGGATGTTAATAATTTATTTCTATGTTTACCCCTATTGGGCCACACCCCTCTGCCCCAGGGGCATGTAACCCTCTGTTAATACAGGATTTAGCCCCATTTGCCCACCAGGGTGCTTTAGGCCAAATTCGGGTAACATCCCTTTAATGATACAGATGGAGAAGGACTTAAATGGTTTAAACCTCCCAAAAAAAAGATTCCCCTTTTGGGCCCAACCCCTCAGCACCCAGAGGGGCCATACCCTCCATTTATACTAAATTGAATCCCTTTTGCCGAAGGATGCTCCTGGCCAAATTTGGTCAAAATCAATAAAGCTGTCCAGGACTCAATAGTGTTTTAAAGAAAAGTTGACAGACGGACAACAGACGGATGCTGGACACTGGGGTACTGCATAAGCTCACCATGGTTCTTAAAATAACATAAGTTTCCCATACACTTCTTTACAGGACAAATATATACTGGCCACATAATTACAGTGGCGACTATGGACATGAGGTCCCTTGCGAAATCATAGGTCAAGCATCCTCATTACTACCCACAATTATGTATATTGACAGGTCTGATACAGTTACATTGTTTGTCTGTCATATGAGCCTCCAAGGGATACAACATTTTGGCAAATACACTTTATTGCATCATATAAGTGGTTAATACAAGATTTTCAGAAATCATATATAAAACCCTTTCACAGGTTGTGCAGTTCTAGCTATGGAGCTTGTCTTAAAGAAATCCCATAATTCAAATTTCGGATGGAAAGCATTGCTTCAGATAAGGATCAATAAGATATTGAAGAAATCTTCTTTCTACTGGGAATGCAAATGGATAAAAATAAAATAAGAAACCTTCCTTGGCCTGGGGTTTGTTAATTTAAATACAGCTCAAATTTGTTTTTAAATCATCTTCCAGGCTAACAGGGTCCTCAGATAAGTTGCTGTTTGTTGTGTAATGCTATTTTTTTTAAATTTCTGCTTAAAAAATGAAAAACAACAACAGAAAGTAATCAACCGCATATTAAATCCGACATTTTGGCCAGAAATGCACAAAAACATTTTAGTCTTTTTTTTTTTTAGATATTTAATATGGTTACAACCATTGAAAATACAATGAGTAGAATATGAATCTTATATTCTGAGTTTATTGTTATATGATAATTACTTACTCATGTGATATTTCATTTGGATATCGGAGAAAAGTGTGTCCATCAAATTTCACAGGTAAATCCTTGTTTATGGCATCTGAACCTGTCAACAGAGATAGAGTTTAGCATTATAACAGTGCTCAACCACTCTACTTCTATTTCATATAGATCATATATGTCTGTTATGGTCCAAGTTTGTAAATCTAAAGCCTATGGTTAAGTAGACAGAAAAAACACTGTACAGTCACATGTAAGACCAAATGAATAACAGCTTGGAAATTGAGGATTTCCACCGACCTTGAAGACAGATGAACATAAATGTATTTATTTTTAGTTATAATATTGATAAAAATGCAATGTTGTATGTGTTTCTAGGCACCACTTGGGCAGTTTATATCTACTTTAGAGATATGTTGAGTACAGAGTTTTGTAGTTTAAGATAGTTATTTCAATGGTAACAAAAAAGATTAAAATAAGAATTCCAATATATCAAAAACCACAAGGGCACAAACCTTTGTACAAATTTTTCAATAGAAATGTGGAACAGTTAAAAAATTGTTGTTAAAACAACCCACTGATGTACTGAGTTTTGTAGGGCTAATTTGTTATGTGGTACTTTCAAAGATATTTTCAAACAAACTGAAACTGAGAATTCCCCGATAGCAAAAGACACAGTTAAGTCACTAGCTTGATATGTGTACAAACATTCTTAGGGATATATGGAATGGATCTAGATTTTTCCAGAAAAGCTCTGAAACATTAAATTTTGTTAATTTTGGCTGTCTGTTTCCATGTTAATAGAAAAGATATTTAAAAAAAGAATTGCAAAATAGCAAGAAAACATGAGGCCCAGAGGGCCTGTATTGCTCACCTGCTTCTTTTGTTACATGAAACTGACATATAGGTATTTTCAGACCAAATTTGGTAACTAGAACACAAGACATTTTAATATCTCTTCAGCGGTTTTCAAAATATTTTTGTTTGAAGTTTGAAATTTTGATTTTAAAGCTTTTAACCCACGTTGAAAATTGACTCCGGCTAGCACTTAAGGTGACCTTTGACTTCATTACTGTAATAAAGAAAACGATTACACAGCTGGTCTAGTATCATAACTTTAGACCAAATAGTTCTTAGGATAATGTTGTTTGAAGTTTTTAACATATAAGATTCCCGTCATTTTAATGAAGAAACATTATAGCACTCGATCTCAGGAACCTACTGGCAAAATATCATTACCTTGGGCCTTATGAAACTTGAGGAGAAGATTTTTTAAACTTTTTACCCATGCTGACCTTTGACCCTGACAAGCACTTAGAGTTGACCTTTGACCTCATTACTATAATGTAGAAAAAGATTCGCACTGCTGGTTTTCATAACATACCCAAGTAGTATGACTCAAATCTAAAAGGTTCTTAGGATATTGTTGTTTGAATTTTTTAACATATTTGACCCCTGTGACCTAGGAAGTAGGTCAATGTCATTTTAAGGGGAAATTGTATGGCACTCTATCCAATCTACCTACTGGTCAAATGTCGTGACCCTAGGTCCTTCAGTTCTTTAGAGGAAGACTTCAAAAGAAGAAGTTGACAGAGAAGGATGCCGGAAGACCTACACCGTAGTATGACATAAGCTAATATGGCCCTTCGGGCTGGGTGAGCTAACAATAGGGCAATTACTATATAAATATACAAAGTTCTGTACAGATAAGTTAAATGGTTCTGTAACTGCATGTTGCCTAGTGTGTCAAGTATCATGCATAAAATGTACCTCAAACACACAAGGTAGCTGTTTATCTTCCTCCAAATTACAACTGATGGCAGTTGTTTAAGATTACTGTTCAATAGTTTCCTGGCCCAGGGCGTGGGGATTTTGTGGGAGGGATCGAGGGATACATATTTCCCTCTCTCCTTCTATTCATATTTTCAACCTTTTTAGATTTACACATAGGCCCAATGGGCCTGCATCGCTCCCCTGGGATTATAATCTCACACTTGTAACCTTAAAAGTGATCAAAAGTTTAGTTATAGGCAAACAAGAGGCCCAAAGGGCCTGTATCGCTCACCTGAATATTTGAGCAGTCATAGCAAAATATTCTCATAGAATATTATCCTGTATTACAAATATTTACACTCGCAAACTCTGTCGGCTCCATCTGTTGAAACTTCCAGCCATACATTATTATATGCTTCTATGCTTTTTGGTTCTTCTTCAGAAGTTTTTTGCAGTGTTTGACATATTTGACCCCTGTGACCTTATAAGGAACTCTAGGTTATTTTCATTTTAAAACTTTGTCAGGCACCCTCCCAGGAAGCAACCAGCTAAATATGGCGATTCTAAACCTTTCAGTTCTTGAGGAGAAGTTGTTTGAAGCGTTTGACACATTTGACCGCTGTGACCCTGAAAGTAAGTCAAGGTCGTATTCATTCTCAAACTTTGTTGGGCTCTATCTAAGGAAACTACTGGCCAAATAAGAAGATTCAATACCTATCAGTTCTTCAGAACAAGTCGTTTGAAGATTTTAAACAAATTTGACCCCTGGGACCTTGAATATGAGTAAAGGTCATTAATTTGAACAAACTTGGTAGCTCTTTATCCAAACATGCTACTGAACAGATATCAACATCCTAGGCCTTATGGTTATTCAGAAGAAGTGGTTTAAAGATTTTAAACATATGTAATCCTTGTGACATTGAATAAAAATCAAGGCCATATTTATTCACAAACTTGGTAGCCCTTTATCATAGCATGCTCATGGCAAAATATAATCATCATTGGCCTTCTGGTTATTCAGAAGAAGTCATTTAAAGATTTTAACATATTTGACCCCTGTGACCTTGAAAATAAGTGAAGGTCATTCATTTGAACAAACTTGGAAGCTCTTTATCCTTACATGCTACTGACCAGATATCAACACCCTAGGCCTCTTGGTTATTCAGAAGAAGTCATTAAAAGACTTTAACATATTTGACCCCTGTGCCCTTGAAAATAGATGAAGGTCAGTCATTTGAACAAACTTGGCATCCCTTCATCGAAGCATGTTACTGGCCAAATATCATCACCCTAGGCCTCTTGGTTATTCACAAGAAGTTGTTGAAAGGTTTTAAACATATTTGACCCCTGTGACCTTGAATATAAGTCAAAGTCATTCATTTGAACAAAAGATATAGCCCTTCATCCCAGCATGCTACTTGCAAAATATCATCACCCTAGGCCTTTTCGTTACTGAGAAGAAGTTGATTAAAGTAAAAATTTGACGCCGGACTGACGTACGACGGACGCCGCACCGTGGCATAAGCTCACTTGTCCTTCGTGCAGGTGAGCTAAAAGAGAAATGTTATTATATAAATAAATGGGGGTTATTTTTCATTTCCTGTGTGTATATAAAAGTATCCAGATAGGGTAGTACATTTTATTCCTAGCCAAAATAAAAAGACATTAACACATGGAAGGATGGAAGGAGCAAAATTTGCACATGATTCTTTGCAATAGGACAACTAACATCGTGGGAATCCTTCATATGAAATTTGAAAAAATCATTGTCCAGTAATTCCATAGAAATAGTTCCCTGGAGAAATAATTGTCTAGTAATTCCACAGACACAGTTCCCTGGAGAAATAATTGTCTAGTATTTCCATAGAAATAGTTCACTGGAGAAATAATTGTCCAGTAATTCCATAGAAATAGTCCCTGGAGAAATAATTGTCTAGTAATTCCATAGAAATAGTTCACTGGAGAAATAATTGTCCAGTAATTCCATAGAAATAGTTCCCTGGAGAAATAATTGTCCTGTTATTCCATAGAAATAGTTCCCTGGATAAATAATTGTCCAATAATTCCAAAGGAATAGTCCCTGGAGAAATAATAGTCTAGTAATTCAATAGAAACAGTTCCTTGAAGAGACAATTGTCTAGTAATTCAATAGAAATGGTCCCTGGAGAAATAATTGTCCAGTAATTCCATAGAAACAGTCCCTGGAGAAATAATTGTCCTGTTATTCCATAGAAATAGTCCCCTGAAAAGATAATTGTCTAGTAATTCCATAGAAACAGTTCCCTTGAGAAATAATTGTCCAGTAATTCCATAGAAATAGTCCATGGAGAAATAATTGTCTAGTAATTCCATAGAAATAATAATGGTAATCTTTATTTGACAAAATTCAAGATTACTGGTGGTGATTTTATTCTTCCAAAACCCCTCAAAATAAAACATACATAACTAAGGACCGAGACATTTTGAACCTTGTTCCTCAATTTGTCTCAATATGAAACATGCACAATAAATAAGCCTAGAGGAAGGCCATTTGAACAGCCCTCCATCTGATGGTGTCACAAACATTTTAAACTTCATAAGCTGTATGATCAGCTCTTCTCTTACTCACGTTTCTCACAACGTTGGCCAAGGTATTTAATGGGACACTTGCAGTCAGCTGCGTTCAGTTTGGGCACACAGACCCCTCCATTGAGACAGGGGTTGACGTTACATGGGTTACCCATGTATTCATTGATGTTGACAGCATCTCTGGCTACTTCCATGATATTGTCTATCAGACGACCATTTATGTAAATCTAAAATATACAACCAACCATTTATGTAAATCTAAAATATACAGCCAACCCTTTATGTAAATCTACAACATACAGGTGACCAGAAACATTAACCTACTATGACCCTAAGCAGACATTAATGTATTTCTATTCCTGATTTAGTACTTCATAACACCTTCCCCTCGGCACCACGTACCTCAATTCTGGCATATATGTCAAAATGTTCACCTACACAGGAAGTAGTATTAGCTGCATTAATACTGACTCCATGAAATGACATCACTAGTGTTTATACATTGTACTTCAAAATCAAGTTCATGTGAAAAAAACTGGCATTGCCCACAGCCTGACAACAATGTCATCTTAACCAATCTTAACCAACCAACCTGGTCAGCCAAGCGGAAAATGTTGGTCAGAAGCAGCATCCGAAGCATCGCATGTGATAAACATCCTTAGATTCATAAGCCATGCAAGTTTAGTTGATGTACAACAAGTAGTTACTTAGTAACTGACCTTAACAAATCTTCTTAACCTGGTCAGTGAGGCTGAAAATGTAGGTCAGAAGCAGCATACATAGGGGTATGGTCTCTTGAGGGAGAATTTTATTGGGAGTGGGGAGTTGAGAGTTGCAATATAGAGTGGAGTGATGGGATTCGGGTAGGGGTATGGTCTCCAACTATCGGGCCACCATGATAGGGGTATGGTCTCAGACTGTTGGGCAACCAGGATAGGGGTATGGTCTCTGACTGTCGGGCCACCATGATAGGGGTATGGTTTCTGATTGTTGGGCCATCATGATAGGGGTTTGGTTTCTGATTGTCGGGCCACCAGGATAGGGGTTGGTTTCTGACTGTCGGGCCACCAGGATAGGGGTATGGTATCCGACTGTCGGGCCATCATGATAGAGGTAAAGTCTCTGACTGTCGGACCACCATGATAGGGGTATGGTCTCTGACTGTCGGGCCACCAGGAAAGGGGTATGGTCTGCGACTGTCGGGCCACCAGGATAGGGGTATAGTATTCCACTGTCGGGCCACCAGGATAGGGGTATGGTCTCCGACTGTCGGGCCACCAAGAAAGGGGTATGGTCCACCAGGATAGGGGTATGGTCTCTGGCTGTTGGGCCACCATGATATGGGTATTGTCCCCGACTGTCTGCCCACCAGGATAGGGGTATGGTTTCCGACTGTCGGGCCACCAGGATAGGGGTATGGTCTCCGACTGTCGGGCCACCAGGATAGGGGTATGGTCTCCGACTGTCGGGCCACCATGATAGAGGTATGGTCTCCGACTGTCTGCCCACCAGGATAGGGGTATGGGTTCCGACTGTCGGGCCACCAGGATAGGGGTATGGTCTCCGACTGTTCGGCCATCAGGATATGGGTATGGTCTCCGACTGTTGGGCCACCAGGATAGGGGTATGGTCTCCGACTGTCGGGCCACCAGGATGGGGGTATGGTCTCCGACTGCCGGGCCACCATGAAAGGGGTATGGTCTCCAACTGTCGGGCCACCATGATAGGGGTGCGGTCTCTGGCTGTCAGGCCATCAGGATAGCGGTACGCCCTCTGACTGTTGGGCAACGAGGATAGGGGTATGGTCTCTGACTGTCAGGCCACCAGGATAGGGGTATGGTCTCCGACTGTCGGACCACCATGATAGGGGTACGGTCTCTGACTGTCAGGCCATCAGGATAGGGGTACGGTCTCTGACTGTTGGGCAACGAGGATAGGGGTATGGTCTCTGACTGTCGGGCCACCATGATAGGGGTATGGTTTCTGACTGTCGGGCCACCAGGATAGGGGTATGGTCTCTGACTGTCGGGTAACCAGGATAGGGGTATGGTCTCCGACTGTCGGGCCACCAGAAAAGTGTTATGGTCTCCGACTGTCAAGCCACCAGGATAGGGGTATGGTCTCCAACTGTTGGGCCACCAGGATAAGGGTATGGTCTCAGACTGTCGGGCCATCATGATAGGGGTATGGTCTCTGATTGTCGGGCCATCATGATAGGGGTTTGGTTTCTGATTGTCGGGCCACAAGGATAGGGGTTGGTTTCTGACTGTCGGGCCACCATGATAGGGGTATGGTATCCGACTGTCGGGCCATCATGATAGGGGTATAGTTTCTGACTGTCGGGCCACAAGGATAGGGGTATGGTCACTGACTGTCGGGCCACCATGATAGGGGTAAGGTCTCTGACTGTCGGACCACCATGATAGGGGTATGGTCTCTGACTGTCGGGCCACCAGGAAATGGGTATGGTCTGCGACTGTCGGGCCACCAGGATAGGGGTATGGTATTCCACTGTCGGGCCACCAGGATAGGGGTATGGTCTCCGACTGTCGGGCCACCAAGAAAGGGGTATGGTCTCTGACTGTCGGGCCACCAGAATAGGGGTATGGTCTCTGGCTGTTGGGCCACCATGATATGGGTATTGTCCCCGACTGTCTGCCCACCAGGATAGGGGTATGGTTTCCGACTGTCGGGCCACCAGGATAGGGGTATGGTCTCCGACTGT